GCGTACTTCCGTACAGTAGGTTCTGTGCCCAGTGCTCCAGCGACCGGTTCCTTCCAGACATGGCGACAACAGAGCATGCTTGCCACGAGGACTTGGGCTTGATTTTCCAAGTAGCTCCGCCCCAAGCGAACTGCCATCAGGACTTGTCGATGTAGTAGACAGTGCTGCGTCGCTGACGCGTGTTTGTGAGCTGAGCCGTCAACGTGCTGTGGCTTTGCCTGCTCCGAAGCACACCGTGGCTTGGGCCGAGCGTGGCTCCAACTCCCTGGGGGGCAGGTCCAGCGCCCAGTTCTTCACACAGCGGGTCGGTTCTAGCTTTCTTCCAAGGAGCTTCGCCAGTCTGCTAGTGGATGCGGTGTCCAAACAGTGCGCCGCAAAGACTTGGAAGCTCGTGCGGCTGTGAACACGGCCGCGTTTCTGTCGCGGCCACAAGCTTTCCGCTCAGCCTTCTTGAAGAGAGGGATCAAGCGAGAGGCAAACTTGGCTTGCTTGATCTCTGTGGGAGCAAAGTTATCGTGCGGAAGAACTGTGCCCAGTCCTCCTCCTGCCGGTTTTAGTTTTGCTTCCAGCCGCTGCGTTGGAGTGCTGGTAGGCACAATGCACAGGCAATCTGCCATCTGGTACACACGTGCTGCAGCACGTTGATGAGCTGTCGCTGCTGCGGCCTGCGTGATCTGAGCCGCCAGCAACGCAGGAGTTTGGAGGCTGTGTGAGGACAATTGTGAGGGTGACCCCGGCGAGGCGTATGCTTTGGACCCGAACTGTTTGCCGCTGCAGCCGTCTGCAGCAATTGACGCCAGTCTTGCCGCTTCGAGGGGTACAGCTTCGGGCAAGCGGCAAGCGTGATTTGGGGTCTCTGTGAACTAAGCTTACCCATAATCGCTCCAGCCTCCGGTTTCCTAGCTGCTAGCCCCATGCCACACGAAGCTTTGCAACAGTGCTGTTGGACGATGTGCCCAAGTAGTCTGCCATGATTTGCACTGGGTGACCTGTTGCTGTTGGTATTGCTGCGTTGCTGGCGCGCACCTGAGAGCTGTGCAGAAGTTTGGAGGTGTGAGGACAACCTAGGTCGAGTGCTCAGTCCACGTACTACTGCCATCCCCGTCCCCGCAATCCTCAATGCCCATAAGTTTCACTTTACTCTTATTGAACATGTAGCTTGGCTGCTGTTACGTACTGACATATTGCAATATGTCCATGGGCTGAGACACGTTGGGCTCAACAGCTTGCATTTTTTCCGCGGAGGGGACGTCCCCTTTTGGGGGCGTTCTTCTGCCTAAACTGGGGCCCAGTGACCCAAAAGTCCCATTTGTGGGAAAACACCCGTTCCAGCACTTGCAACTTCAAAATCAGGACATGGTGCCGAAAGAGGTGGCGTGCAAGATGGGGGGCACAACAAAAGACGATTTGTGAATGCCACATCCCTCGCCTCCTTGCCTTTGTACCGCTTAAGACCAGGCTTCGGCGGGCTCAAACTGCAAAAGCTGTCGAAGTGCGAGGACTGCCCTAAGTAATCTGCAGATGGGCGGAAGCCTGTCTTGAGATCTCTTGGGGCACGTTTAGCGCCGACCTCGCGAGCTACTGGCACCGGGCCCCAGCCACGGAGACCTGGACTAGATTGTTTGCGGTTGTGGGCACTGCTGCGTTGATGACGCGCGCCTGAGAGCTGTGCAGGAGTTTGAAATTGCTTTGGCGGACCCCAACTGTTTACCGCAACTGCAGCCGTTTGCAGCCATTCATGCGAGTCTTTCCAAAGTGAGGCGTCAAGCTTCGGGCAAGCGTGGTTTTGGGTCTTTCTGAGCAAAGCTTACCCACACTCGCTCCAGCCAGCAGTTTCCTAGTTGCTGGCTACCTGTAATATCAAGTAGCTTTGCACGAAGTGCCCAAGTAGTCTGCCGTGACTTTGATTTCTTACCCGTTGCTGCATTGCTGACACACATTTGAGAGCTGCGCAAGAGCTTGATTAGTTTGAAGGCCGTGTGAGGATACACGTAAGGGCCACCCCCAGCGAGGTGTCTGCTTTGGAGGCCCCCAACTGTTTGCGGCAGCAACTGCCGTCTGCAGATGGCTTGATATCTCTTCAAGCTACTCACTCTGCAGGTCTTTCGGAATTTCGTGGGCGTCGGCGCTTTGGGCGCGTTGCAGACGCCGAGCCTGCGGGCAGAGGTTGAATGCGAAGACTTTGCCTTGGTCAGATCTGTTGGCGGCATGTGGTTAGCATGCGTAGCTGACACCCGTTTGTGAGCTTGAGCTGGTGGCTCTGCGAGGGGTCGTTGAGGCATGAATGTGAGCAGATTCGCCAGAAGCATGGGCTCCTCCGCCAACAATCTTCCTGAAATGAGCCGTGCCTTGGGCAGGTGCACTTTGCCTGGAGCCAAGACCAGATACGTTGAGCCCCTAGCGTCCCAGCGTTGGTATGTGCCACAGGTGAATTTGAGTTGCCCAGGGTGAGCTGCAACGCACTTCGAATGGTTTGGATCCACTGCCCCAAGCAAGGCTGCATAAATGACGCATGGCTTTGCGAGTTTGAGCGACGTCGTTCTAGCTGCGCTAGGGAGACTGTGCCGGCAGGCTGATTGATGTGAAGACCTTGTCTTGGCCACGCGGTCGCACTCGCGTTCTGGATGCAAAGCCTCGGCAAGATCATCCTTGGAGACGCACCCTGTGGTCCTTCCCAAAGCTCCTGGGCCCAGCCCGGCCCAGCCCACTCAGGAATTGCGATGCGATTGGGGCTGCCGGCATGACGGTCTGCAGCCAAGTCGAGTTTCGGGAGTTTCTGCGCTTGGCAGTCGCTTGGAGGTGAAAGGGTGAAAGGCTGCAGAGTTGCTTCCGGCTTTCTGCAGTGCAGCTCTTCGCTGCGACTTTGCAAGTCTTTGTGTTGCCCAAGGGCTCCGGCAGCCGGAGTTCCGATTCATGCCCGTGGGGGCGTGGCTGACGTGCCTTTGTGAGCGTGAGCCTTGGTGCTTCCGATGCTGCAAGAGCCGTCCCGCGGTGCTGCCCTGAGCCAATCTACTCGTTCTTTGCGGGCAAGTCGACCTGTCAGCAACGGGTTGCAGAAGTCGCAGTTTCCGGCAACGTTCTCAGTTGTGGAGCTTGTTCCTGCCATCGTTTACCATGCGGCCTGAGGCTTCTGCCATCGCAACTGAGTGGCTCACAGTCCCTCTTCCGGCATTTGCCCGCGCTCAGACGCTTGCATTCGATGCGATTGCAGTCTGGCAGGGTCCGCGTCCAAATGCTGGGCATGCCAAATGGGAGCAAGTCTAGTGCCTCTGGCAAAGCTCGATGTTCCAAGAGGCTTCAAAGGCATTGGTCTCGGTTCTCACGCGCAGGAGGAAGAGGAAATCCAAATTCAAGTGGGAAAATCACGTTGCTTGGCTGAATCCAGCCCAGCTCACTTCATTGGACAAAGGGTTTTGAAATTGGGCCAGGGATGGCTAGGGTTGCGCGATTGTTTTGCAACAGCTTCGGGGAGGCTCGTGTGGCCCTCAGTGCAGCTTGCCCCTACGTCCCTTCAAGCAGGGGTAGTGAGAGGCCTTTGCTTGCATTCACTTTTAAGATCTCTTGAAGTGCAGCAACAGATTGCCGGTGGCTTTGCTGTCCGAAACTTTCCTTTATGGAAATGCATGCGGCAACAAGAAGCTTTCGGCTTATCAGCTTGAACAGGCATGCCCTCCCTTCCGGGCAGAAGCGTTGCGTCCGTGTTGTTTGTCGAGCTGTGCAGGTGAACACGGGCCTAGTAGAGCGCGGAAGTGTTGTTGGCTTCTTTTTGAGTGGCACCCGTCACTCAAAGTTTGCTCTGTGCGAGGTTACAGCCGGCGCTTCGTCGGAGCAGCTAGGTCTAGGTCTTTAGTTCTTTGGGAAGTACGATCAGGGCACAGACGAGATGCCCATTCAGCTGCCTCGCCTCGAATGAATGCGTATGTGTGGATGGCAATCTTTGCTTGGGGCCTCGACGCTGTATGCCCCTCACCCGGCCGAGTGCTCAAGGAATCCGAGGCAGTTGCTTGGTTTGTAGGTGCTTCTACCGTGAAGGACTCACAACTCTTTTTTGCTTGGTGTTTACTGCGGCTCGCTGAGAGCTGGCGTGGCTGGGCGGGTGTCCTCACGCCGCGCAGGTTCGATGACGACAATGAATGATCATGAACTTTGCCTACAGTGGCTACCCGCCGAGCATTGCCGACAGAGATTCGCCCTGCAATTCGGATTGCGTGAGTGGCCTTGTGGTCTGCCCAACCAGGACACCTGAGACTTTGTTGTTCGACAAATCGCTTGAGGGGACCTTGTTTGTCCAACCCAAAAGTCGGCAGTGAGCTTCTTTCGCGAAGGCAGCTCGACCTTCGACTTCCCGGTGCGTGGCTGGACATTTGTTTTAGTCAGAGCGGTTCTCTTGTGCCGGCCCTTGTAGATCGAAAAGGGTGAGATGCTGTTGTCGTCCCATATGGCTTAGGTTAGGCCCCAAAAACGCAAACACGTGGGTTTTGCAGGGACAGGTTTCTCCTCGACCAAGGGTGTGCGAAAGCTTTCTTTGTTGGGGAGAGTGAGAGATAAGACAATGATGTCTTCTTTAGGAGAGTTGGACATGTCACTTTGCGCTCTGTGTGGTTGCAGTTGAATCCTGAGAGGTGTTTTGATCATCTTAGTGGGTCAGACTCACTGTGGGTCAAACGCCTGGCTACCCCACAGTTTGTCACAGCAGGAACACTGCGGCTGGGTTGAAGTGCGTTTATTGGATGGAAAGTCAATGGGCGGTTCTGCAGAGGCCACTGCCGAAATTGGAGTGCAACAACGATCCAAGCGGCCAAACGCAGTCCAACAGACCCCTTGTGGAGAGACCGGTTCCTTGAGGTTGGCATTACGCAGCTTTCGGATTTGTAAGCAAAACATGCTGTCAACCCACCCGATCCGTTACAACCTGCTCAGCAGCTTTGGACTTCAGCAAGCCAACATTGTTCTGGTGCCACTTTCGGATGGTTTCACGCAGCAAAGGCATGAAGTTGCATCGTTGAAGTTCAGAAAGAGCGCCTTCGTTTTCGGCGTGCAAAGTGCCATGGAAATGCGCTGCTTGGTCAGCATCTCCTTTTGTCTTGGGGCCGCAGCGCTGCTGAACCGCAGCGATTTCGCCGTGACAAAGGTCGGCTCCGAGGTCTCCGAGGTCTCACCCAATCTCCAGGTTTCCGTTTCCGTGGGATCCGGAGATCCGGCGGTGGCACTGAGCGAGATCTTGATGGCCTCGCTGCGGGCAATGGGCGTGACGGGGACCATCATCGTCGTGGGGATCCTGGCGGCGCGGTGGGGAATTGTGGGCAAGAACGCTAGCAGCGTGCTATCAGCGGTGTCCGCCAACTTGGCTATCCCAGCACTTCTTTTCTCCAGGATCATTTACTGCGATCAATGCAACCAGGGCCGGCACTGCCCCGAATGTGCCCCCTTCAGTCGCACCATTGCATCCAGCTGGATTTTGATGGTGTTGCCTCTGATCGTGGTAGGCTTTGGCCTGGCCCTAGGCAAGGCGGCTGCGGTGGTGACCAGGGCCCCCGCGGGCTTTGCCCGGGGCACCGTTTGCGCCATCGCCTTTGGAAGTTCCACAAGTCTACCAATCGTGCTTTTGTCAGTAGTCACAGAGACGTTGAACAACGTTGGCAGCAAGGCCATGGGCAAAATGGACCCCCTTCTGCACCTGCCAGTCTACCTGATTCTTTACCCTGTGCTCATGTTCAGTATTGGGAACTGGCTGCTGAGAGACCCTGATGCCGCTGAAGACTGCGAGTCGTTGGTTCCTGTTGAGGAGCGCAGGCGGAGCTCGCTCCGGTCGGCCCTGAGGCATGCCCTCGAGCCTCCGGTGCTGGCTTCAATCGCAGGGTTGTTGGTGGGCCTGACTCCAGTTAGAGCCTTGCTGGTGGATGTGTACGACCAGGACAACAACGCGTGGCTGGAGTGGCTTTACAATGGCATCTATGAGCTGGGAAACGCCGCGGTGCCGTTGAACTTGCTGATTCTGGGCTGCTCTCTCTCCAAGGGGGCGGATTTTGAGGCCCTGCCGCCACGGCTGGGTGTGGTGATCGTGCTTTGCAAGTTGGTGTTGATGCCACTCATCATGACAGCAGTGATTTACGGCCTGATCCGTCTGGTGAACACCAAAGATACATCCCTTTGGTTGGTCGCGCTCCTTGTCACTTGCATGCCCACCGCGAACAATGTGGCCGTCATGGCCCAAACAGGAGGCCAAAGCAAGGAAGGCATGGCCACTGCCATTTTCCTACAATACATGGTCGCCCCTGTTAGTGTTTCACTGTGGCTGGCAGGCTTTCTCTTTCTTTTGTCAAGCGATGGATTTCTTCCAACGGCATAATGCTGGTACGCAACACTGATTGCTTCGTCTGCAGTGAGGGTTTCACCCTTGCGCAAAATAGGT